GGTCTAGTATGTAACAAAAATGCACTTTTTGTATATGCTTCCAAAGTAAATTCAAAGAATGTGCATTTCAAATTCTTGACTACTTAAGCAATATTTTGCACTAGGTTTAAATTTTAAACTAATATAGTAATAAGTTTTATAACTATGTGTATTGTACATTGCAAAAATAATTTTAGTATTTATGTGTATATTATGGTTTGACTATTTAAGTGTATTTTAAATATGCACTTGTTAACAGTATTGTTTTGAAGGTAGATTTAAAAAACTCGACTGCTATTTTAAAAACAGCTACAAATAAGAGCAAAGATTTCATTGTCATTTTGAAATACTGATTATTAAGGGTTTGTACTTGTTTGTGTCCTTTATACAGTCTAGTTATTTAAATCTATAATTTTTCTTAATTGATATTATTCGATTCCATCCATACTTATATTATTAATAGATATTATTCTGTATGTACATGTTGTATTATTTATTTTTTCAACATTTAATAAAAATTCAACAAACATTTGATTTGTTTTTGTTCGCTGTGTTATTTTGTATTGCCCTCTTTTCGCATTTTTATGTTGGTATCGTTGCGCTTCAAAGCTGAAACTAAAAAAATTATTTACATTTTGATATATACAAAATGGCGACAGTTTCAGAATTTCTTGTGTTGCGTAGTGGTTAAAATTTTAATTGTTATCTAATAATGACAAATGTGTAATGTTACAATATAATGGTGAAAAGGATATATTACGTACACGAATAGGTAAGTTTTATAGTAATTATAAATATAATTATTTGACAAGCGTATGTGCAAATAGTTGTGTGAGAATTATTTTCAGATGTCATTCTTTATTAAAATGAATGACAAGTAGTGCAACAATAATAAATTATTAGTTGTACCTAAAATATAGATCAGTTGTTTAATATATAATTGTAATAAATACTGTTAAACAAGTTTTTCTTAACGGGGTTTTGACATATTTAAACAGTAACTATTCTATTTGCTGCACGTATGCAAGTTACGTGCGTCCTCATTTCATTTATCTTGGTGAATTCTAAAGACAAGCTTTTGAATTTTTAACACAAAATTCTGTCATGTAAAATTGGTCCAATTTATTTTACTAGGCAACTAAAATTCCAATGTAATAAATTTGTGTTAGATCGAATCATAGCCCTTTTGCCAAACCAAACAACTACCTATACAATATTTCATGCCAGTATTTTTTTATTTAATTTATTAATGTGTAGGATTTATTTAAAAATGAATCGATATTCTGCGTAGACTTCATTCAATTTGGATTAATTAGACAACACTAAATATGATTTATATACTACTCTTGCATGACCTCACTTACTGTGAGTCAATAAGTGGATATTGGGAATTTATCGAAATTTATGTTGATATAGTTAATATTAATAATAATGTTCTGCGAAAAAATATAATTTCATAGCTACCTGAAAATTTATTGGGAAATTTTTCCATTTAAATCCTTTTCAAATGATGACATACTAATACTAACGCCCCCAAACAAGAAATTTAGAATATTCCCTAATTGCATGTTTCTAGATTTTTCAATTCATTTTGTCATTTTGTCTTACAAAATAAAAGTGTATAGAAAAGTATGGGTATATTTGTATATGAACAAACATTTTGTTTTTCGATTGAGTTTTCATGAAAGATGTAAAAACTCATTTTTTAAAATTTAATAACTTTCAATCTCATTTTATAATACTTAATAACGAACTTGTAATTAACAGCTAGATCATATAGATTTTGCCGAACCATTTCTTTATTAAATATTTAATTTAATTATCTTTAAATATTTGGAATTACTAAATTTATATAAAGCCAAGAGTCGAAGTCACATTAATTAAATTTGTGTAAATATTGACTTTTGAAATAATAAACGGTATTATAATTACTTATATATTCATACCAGTTAAAATATCTGTTTTTGTAATGAAAAGCCGCACCATGTATGATGCTAATATATGATCATTTTTAAATTTCAAGATTTAAAATTGTTTGTTCTATATGCCTAAAATTTAAGTCATTTAAAAGACGAATGAAAAATGAATTTGAATATCAATTTTAATGGGATAAAATATGTAATTTTCTGAAGAATTTTGATTTTTACCTAAAAAATCGCGTTGATTAATTTTGTTTATAATATTGAATCGTATATTTTTCAGTCACGGTTTCAAAAACTTTGAAAACGAATTTTCAATATTTAAAAACAGTTTGAAAGGTAAAAGTTATTTATATAAATACAAGTATAATATGCGGATATTATACGTATTACTTTAGTTTTTAGTTGAGGTCATTTTCGTCGAGAAAATTGTAAAAATTTGTTCGAAAATTTTTAGTTGGCAATGTCGTTATTTAGGTTTGCTTAAAGATCCATCGAATAGTTTTTTTGTATTCGTAGTTTAATTAGCCTTGATGTAAATTTGTTTATTTCGTTATTTCTGTGATAATATTCAATTAATCTTTTTTTAAACTTCTAATAAATTGAAACCACTTGATATATTTCAATTTCTGTAGATCTCGGAAGATTTAAGATCTCTTTAGTATTGGTCTGAAAGGACTTGAACATGTTTACCACTATTCTTTATTAGAATGAATTCATACATATTGGTATGAATATTATTTTTCAATAAAATAAAAAAATGGGATTTTAAAATTATATTCCAATTGCCAGGAAATTATAATTCTTCATGGCATTTAAATTGCAAATTAAATTTTCACTGATAATTATTTAGAAAATAAACTATTCATACATATTGGTAGGAATATTATTTTTCAATAAAATTGGTATTAATGAATTAATACATATTGGTATGAATATTATTTTTCAATAAAATAAAAAAATGGGATTTTAAAATTATATTCCAATTGTCAGGAAATTATAATTCTTTTAAATAACAAATTAAATTTTTACTTATAATTATTTAGAAAATAAACTATTTTATGAAAATTGCTCTTTATTAAACCCCATTGACTCCTGACCTAAATGTGAATGTTCCATGTTCTTTTTCGCAATGGATGCTCAGTTTCAGTAGGTCACTAGCCCGAAAGTCTCGCCCGACAGACGCCCTTACATAATTTTTATTGATAATGTTAAATATATTCTTTCCATTCTGTATTATTACTACACTATAGAATTTGATTACTTTATTACTATTGTTTACAACAAAGTTATTGTAACTATTGTTACAATTGATGTAGATACTGCATATAATATTATATTGAGTTTGATGTTGTATTAACAGATACTAATAGTCCGGCATAATTATAGATACAAGAATAATTGAACATAATATCATTTTTTTTTAATTTATAGAGTAATTTGTTTTGAAGGGTTTGAGAGTTAGAATTAAAGATGAATAACATGAATAATAGTCGATTATCATTATTTCCCATGGCTTAATTCTGTTTACAACACTGCCGATATATTTCTTGATCTCGTGAAATTATTAGATGAGAATGACTTTATATTTGATATCTCATATAGAAGTTATGCATATGCGCACTATCTAAAAGTTAATATTAAGAGCTAAAACTTTCAGAGAATTGTTTTTTATCGATTTGGAACCATTTGAGCCCTTGGGAGCAAGGAAATTCGAAAAAGTCTATATTAAGGACCACCATATATATATATATATATATATATATATATATATGTATATAAGAATTTTATATTTAATATACACTACCAGTTTCTCACATTTTTCTCAATTGTTCGACCATGTTATATTGTTTCTCAATTGTTGAATTATTCGACCACGTGAAATGTTTTTTTAGCAAAAAGTTACTTGCTTTTACACATATGTATGATACACTTCATGCTGTATTTGAATATAGTTGTTATCAATTGATTTGATAAAATTCTACATTTTGATAAATACGGAGGGCATTATTTCACATAAAATTTTGGTCCTAAAATTAATTTTTGTATTATTCAAATAGAAAATATTGAAAAATAAAGCGGTTTTATACGTGACTATTTAAAAGGTGGCTGATTATTACAATAACTGACTTTATATTTGATATCTCATATAGAAGTTATGCATATGCATATGTCATACAATTGCTCCAGATTTGTCAGATTTTAACAAAATAATAGTATATATTCTTTGTCATGTTATATTTAATATTTGATAGTAAATTTTGTACTCGCTTCTGTATACTTTGCCATATTATATATTATTTAAGTATAAATTTATTAAAAATGACCTTGAATTTTAGTTTTTATCCCATTCTACGCGTAGAACTACATAGATCGAATCGTAGCGCAGGGCTTCCAGCATCTCTCATGGGCGCAGAGCTACGGAGATGCGATTTCATGCGCATCTCCACATCTCTTTCTACCTTCATATTTATTCTATATTATTTCTCTTTTCTTTCATTTATACCCCTGAACATTCGAAATTCGCGGCAAGTGAAGTCGCCATTTTGGGGAGTTCACGCACAATCCTGATAAAGGGTCAGATCTCGAACAATTGTGATTAATTAAACAATTTAGTGATTGAGTGTTGATTTAAGATAAATTTGGTTTAAGTGAATAAAGAAAATAATCACCTAAATTCGTGACAAAAAATAGTGATAAATGTGATATAAGTAAAATACGTAGTGGCCTCGGTTCGTGAATGATGATATACATGTGTATGACTTTTTATCTGTCATATTACTTTATGGTTTAAAATTAAAGAAACACTTTTCAAATGTGCACACCGAAAGTATAAAACGTTTAACTTTATTATTTAAAAAATACAATAAAATACATAATTTATTATTTTTGTTCATTATTTATTATTAGTGTTATTATTTATTTACTTATAACAATCATATTTAGTATCTGAAATATAATGATTCATAGCTTTGTAGTTGTGAATTATAAATCGCCAATAATTTATTTCAAGCGATTAAGTAAGCTTTCGAAGATCAGCATACAACTAAATCATCGTATTTTTGTTAATACATATTATAATTATTACATTTATCTTTCATAGCTTGGACAGAATAATATATATAAAATGAAACTTTACAGGTACTCTTAAAAATTACATCAGATCAATTCCTAAGGGTCTAATAAAATAAGCTCTTTGTGGATGAGGAATATAACTGATTATCCAGCCATTCCAAGCCTTCATACAATCCAGTTCCCAAAGAAACGCTACAAGCTTGAATTCTTAAAGCTCGCTCATTTTCGTTATATGGTGGCAGCGCAGAACGAATTTGATTCTCACTTAGCGCTCCTATTCGATCCTGTATAACAGACAAAAGTAATTGAAATCAATAGGTTAATATAATAACGTAGAATATGACGCTGTTACTATAGTTTACTTGCTTTGATGAAAGACTTGAAAAATATCTAACCTCTCAAACAACTATAGATTACATTTTATTTTGCATAAATAAGGGATACGTTCTTGAATTGAAATTATAACATTTTTTTTATTTATTGTTTCAACAGCAATCAGAACTCCTACTTAAGCTGTTTTGTTTAAGACTTATGACCTAAGGTATTATTATGAGAGGCAACCCATCGGTTCACCATTCTCCTATGTGTGGGGTTTATATATTAGCTCTTACGTCTAATAGTTTACATATGATTGAATGATGCAACTATGTCCACGAAGGACAATTTCCGCTTGGAATTATATTGTGATCTATAACCCCAAGTGGAAATTTGACATCAATGCTGCCTGATGACAGACTTGGCGGTAACGGGAATCGAATCAGCGAACCTGGCGAATTACATTATATGAAGAATAATACTTTCTACCAGTTTTAACATCTTATGATGTTCAACATTAATTTCCAGCAACATAGTTCACGATCTACCTGCTAGTTTTTTTTTTATTTAGCTAATTTTATAGTCAAACACATAGTTACCTGTTTATTCGCGAATACTAATATTGGAATATTTTTGGTTCTCGGCTCTTTTAACATTTTCGTAAATTGTTTTGCAGCATGATGAAGCATTTCAGGATCTGAACTATCTATGACAAATATTATGCCCTATGTGGAATAATCATGGATATATTAATATTTTCTAAACATGCGTATGTATTTATTCTTTTATTTCTCATTAACTCACGTGCATTTTCTCGTCATAAGTCCACCATAGCTTATGGCACATGTAACCCCAGTCATATAGCGTATATTGGTGTCCATTATAATCCATTTTTTCCACATCAAATACTATTAAATTAAATGAATATTTGCATTTAATCATCGTTATAATACGATTGGTGTTTTAGAAATATATGAAACCCAATGATTAATATAGTGATCATTTTTGTTATAAGAATCATGTTTTATATTAAATCTTAAAATTATAACTTTATATTATAAAATTGTCATTTTCGAGAATTGCAAAATTAAAAAAATAATACAGTGTACATATAAAATAAGGGTATTTAAAGTTGCATGTTCTGTTTCTGACATTGAAAATGGTTCAATAATCGTTTAATTATCGGTTAAGAAATTCTTTTTCATTAAGAAGTATTCTAGAATGGTTTTCTATATTTTACTTTCATTTTTTGAATATAAATAATAGAGTAATTATTACTACATTTACATTATTTGTGGCGTTTTTACATTTTATATTAAATGTTCGTTTTAATTTGTGAATTGTGATATGTTGGATTTTTAATTTTTTTAAATTCTATTTTATTGTTAACTATGAGAAGCAGATTTTTAACTTTTCGTAGGGCATGTTATAGTAATCGCAAAAAAATTAAAAATGAAAATTTTTATATATCTTTACGTTAAACCTTCTGAACATTTTGGCATTCCTTAGAAAAAATTGATGTATGTGTGTGTGTGCGGATACAAATTTTCATCGACGATTTAGGGATGAAGCGATTTGAATAATTCAAAAAACATTCAATTCGTATTCATACGGAGACGTCCTGATTAATTTTTGGCAAAGGCAAGTCTAGCCGTTCAGAAGATATGGGGAAAAAGTGCCAAAAACGGTAACTCAGTTTTTAAGAGAACGGAGTGTCCAATTTGAATAATTCAAAAAACATTTTACTTGTATTAACAAGATACAGAACTGATCAAATTGAGGCAGGTCTAGCGGTTTCAGTGATCTAGTAAAAAAAGTAAAAAAATGCCATTTGGCGGGCAAAAATGATCATTAGACATATGCACATCAAATTATCTGATATTTTATAGAGATTTCAACAATAAGTATAAATTTTGTTTACATTCCTATGGGTTCCGTACCAATGTTTATCTGTTAGACCGTGACGCGGCGCTTACGCGCTTCGATATTTCTTCTCTATGCAGTTAAAGCAGTACGATTGCTTTGAAAAAAAGTTCCAAACTTCCAAAATATTTCAAAAATTTTCTTCAGAAATTCTTTTTTTTTAAAAAAGAAAGTAAATTTTTGTCAAAAATTTATAGTTTCTCAAAAATCTAATTTTTTCAAAGTAATTTTTTTTCAATCTTTTTTAAAAAAAATAATTTTTGGTACGGGAAGTGCCAGCAATTTGCTTTAAGGCACGATGCCATGCGCCCCAGTAGTTCTGGGTTAGATTGGCAATATTAAAGAGATATCTAAGATCACGCACGAAATTTATATATATATATATATATATATATATATATATATATATATATACGAGGTGTGTTCAAAAAGTACCCGGAATTACTAATAATTAAATTTCGCGGGTCTGGAGTGTCTGATTGTCAAAATTTTTTTTTATTGTGTTGGTATACATGCCCCTAAAGTATGATGAAATTTTCAGCTATATTCACTGTTTACTTTGTCTGTGGTAGTCGCTAAGGTTCGACGTGTTTTTCTGAGCTCGGCGATTTTTACAATGGAAGAATTGAAAAGTCAAAGAATTTGTATTAAATTTTGCGTAAAAAATGAAATAAAGTGTTGCAAAGTGCAAAAATTCACCAGATATGGCTCCGTGTGACTTTTTCCTATTCCCAAAGTTGAAGAGACCCATGAAAGGACGGCGGTTTTCCTCGATTGAAGAAAATCGCTGAGAGTGCTCATGGACATATCAAAAAGTGAATATCAAGGGTGCTTCGAAAATCGGAAAAAACGCTGGCATAAGTGTATTATATCTGGGGGGGACTACTTTGAAGGGGACCACATTAATGTAGACGAATAAATAAATATTTTTTTGAAAAAACGAAAATTCCGGGTACTTTTTGAACAGACCTCGTACATATATATTTCATATCAGATTTGATTCATGTTTCAATGTCTATCTTTTCTATACAAAATATTCATTGTTTTACTATATCACTCTACATCTATACATAACATCGCCTCTCTTATCATTATGTTTGAAACTGACCTATTGTAGGATGAGTCCTCGCCCTTTTTCCGAGCGACAGTCTTAGGGATATACTTGTTTTCCCTGCTCCAGCCATCCCTATAACCCAAACTCTGCGCCTTGTGCTGCAGCAGAAACGATTTTGTACTGATACTAATGGCGTGTTACCCATAGCGCACGTGCTTCTACGTCATAACTCCAGTTTCAATAAGTGCATAGATGCAATTGCTTATATGACCGAAAAGATCTTGAAAATGATAACTGAAATTATGAACATCGGTGAGATTTATGTTTACTTGCAGAACACATACATGATAAAAGTAAGATTTTTTAAATTTTTTTTTTATTTATTTGAACAGTGATCAGAACTTATGGGTTCTATGAGCTGTTGTGATTAATATCTTACAAACTACGTTCGTTTTATTACATATGGCAACCCAAACAGTTGTCACATCTCTGTATGATAAATTTTTATTACAATCTCTGTAATAGGGCAAGTATGGTGCAACAATGCCGGGTGAGGGCTATTTTCACTTGAAAACATAATGCTATTTATATTTCCAAGTGAAAATCGTTGTCACTGTTGCTTGACAACAGGCTGCTCGAAGTGGGTATCGAACCGGGGACCTCTGAAACAAGTCCCGTCGCTATTAACCGCTTTAATACGGGTGAGCCCATAAAAGTAAGATGACTGAATAACATATTACGTAGAAAAACCTCAATTGATATTCAATTATGATATTCATAAAAAATCGCACCTGCGGAATCCATATCACATCATTACAAGCTGATAATCACTGACAAGTGTTTTCTAACAATAAGTAGATATTATCCATAACATGTTTTTTAATAATTTTGTTTCTTTTTAAATTAGTTTCATTTAATTAAAATTCTACAAAAATTATATGGTTATATTTTACATTTGAGAATACTTCAATAAATTTGCAACACATTATTTTTATTATTATTTTTATATGTTATACACTACGATTTAGGATAAACTTTTAATTAATGTTTGATTATATAATTTGGTTGATCTTTTATTATAAAAACCTTTAACAGTACAATTAAATTTTTGATTGTTATTCGAACTTCACTGTACACTTCACCTTTATTCACATATTTCAACAATTTATTAATAGAAGCAAATTGATTTTTTTAAGACTTGCACTTATCGTATCATTATATCAGAAATATTTTATAGCCGGTAATATATTGGCTTATAAAACAATACTGATAAAGCTTTAATTTTGGAAGGGATCATGCCGCAAATTGACTGCTTATCACTCAAATTTAATCTCGTTTATGCAGTGTATTGTACAGTAGTAAGCAACTCTGTGGAATACTTTTGAATTTTGCTTATTCCTGTTTATATTTTGAAATAATGTTTATAAAACAACTTGACATGAATTGCATTCGTTTTAGAATTAATTTACATGCACATACAAATTATTAGCTGTTCATATGATGACAGAAGTTAATTTTTGTTATATAAAAATAATAAAAATATTATTGTGATAATTGCACAAAATTAAATGTTTTGTGGGATTTTACAATTTGGACTATGGCAATTTTTATTAATTTGTATATAATAGTCATAATTCATGGATCTTAATTAAATTTTTTAAGTTATAATTAATAACCAAATTGTGATATATTTTAATAAAAAAATATATACATTCTATAAAAGGTCACATGCAAAATTGTTATTTTTATATTCTATATATATATTTATATATATATATATATATATATATATTTATTTATTTAATTATATACATTAGGGTGGTCCTTAATATGGGCATTTTTGAATTTCCTTGCTTCCAAGGGCTCAAATGGTTCCAAATTGATAAGAAACAATTCTCTGAAAGTTTTAGCTCTCAATATTAACTTCTAGATAGAGCGCAATTCAATCAAACTTCGTATGGAAAGAGCATGGAAAAAATTTTGAAAATTAAAAAAAAATGTTTTAGGTATAACTTAGCGACAAAATGAATGCGTTTTATTAATTCATTTGTTCGCTAAATTACATCTAAAAAACATTTTTAAAATTTTTGAAAATTTTTTCATGCTATTTCCATACAAAACTTTGATTGAATTGCGCTCTATCTAAATGTTAATATTAAGAGCTAAAACTTTCAGAGAATTGTTTTTTATCGATTTGGAACCATTTGACCCCTTGGGAGCAAGGAAATTCGAAAAAGTCTATATTAAGGACCACCATAATATATATATATATATATATATATATATATAAATTTTATATTTAATATACATTACCAGTTTCTCACATTTTTCTCAATTTTTTCGACCACGTTATATTGTTTCTCAATTGTTGAATTATTCGACCACGTGAAATGTTTTTTAGCAAAAAGTTACTTGCTTTTACATATGTGTATGATACACTTCATGCTGTATTTGAATATAGTTGTTATCAATTGATTTGATAAAATTCTACATTTTGATAAATACGGAGGGCATTATTTCACATACGGTTTTGGTCCTAAAATTAATTTTTGTATTATTCAAATGGAAAATATTGAAAAATAAAGCGATTTTATACGTGACTATTTAAAAGGTGGCTGATTGTTACAATAACTGCGTGGCCTTTACAAAAAATAAACAAATTATGAATAAGTTATACATATAAAATATACCGCGACCATGATTTATATGTATAATTATATGATCATTATTCTTCAAATTTCTAATAATATTCAACCACATAACAAAGAGTGGTTGACCGCTGGGTTGCCCTCTCGAGTAATATATGTACTAGGTTCTGGAGTAAAATAGCAAACACAAGTCATGTAACTTAAAAATCTTATGTATTTTATTTTATTTTATGTATTTTAGATACATAGATAGTTCAGAAAACGTTTGCAACATAAATCGAAAAAAAAAATGAATTGAATGAATTGTTTCAATTCGCTGATTTGATTGGTATTGCAAAACTTTATTTAAACATAGCATCAAGATGAAATTTTCACACGCTTATTGCCCGAGTTATTGTTATTGTTAAGAATTGTATAACAGCTTTATTATTTGAAGATGAGACGAATATCGATTGATAATTTTGATATTTTATATTCGCATTATAATTATATTTGTTTTTTCTTTATATTCAGATATTATAATAATGTGTTGTGTGAATGAAGTGAATTATAAATTTCTAACACTATGTAAAATAATATGAACTGATAAAATTATGTTAATAATTAATAAAATTAAAAATGACGATATAGTGCCATGAGGCGAGTGCTTAGCTTCTGTGCAAATTGCAGCAATGGCGTAAGTTTGATTTTTGTGGTTTATGCATACTAAATATTATAGTATTGCTTGATCTTTTTTAGGTTTATTTAAATTTGGTCTTTGATATTATGCAAAAATTCGAAGCCTGAACTTTATGAACTTCCGAAGTTAAAATATAAATTCTTAATAACATGTTTTGAAGTTTTAGAACTTCATATAATTTAAAAAAATGCTTGGTTTTCAACTATTGTTAAACTTGCCTAACATTTGTGAAACAAATTAATAATCTATAATTTCAATTTTTTCAGCAATGCAATAAATAATAATCAAATTATATATTTTACATTGACATGGCTTTACTTGAAAATATTTTTTTTATATTATTGGTTTTTATAATATAGTTACTTGATGTGAAATTCATTACCTTATTCTGTTTTTTGTAACATCAATATATAGGATTTGTATTTTATTACAATGTATTATTATTGCTACAAATTCATATCCATTTTTTATTATTTTTTAAGTTAATAATAACTTGAGGCGAAAAATCAAAATAAAATTCAATTTATTGACTTTACTTTGAATTCATCTAATTGTAAAACAAACCTAATCTAAAACAAATCTGAGCCCATATTATGGTAAATCATTGGGGTCCATATTTTCTCGATTTGTAAACTAATTTATTATTTTTAAAATAATTCAGCGCCAACTACTAAAAGATTTCATTTTCTAATTATTATTCAACAAATTATTCATTTTCATTTTTTAATTGACCTTGATTCTGTGTTTACTGATAGTTGTTACTGAAATTAATTTTTTAATTAATTTTAATAATATGTATTTTTAAAATTTTGTATTTAATTAGGTTTGAGTTAAAATATTCGATTTGATATTTAGCCCCAGGTAATTTCAGTGCTATCAAGAATTAGTAATCTTAATTCCTAATGATTATAAAAATTCCATTGGTAATTGGGCTTCAAAGATCTTCAATAATTTACCTGACTGTTTGTCAAATTAATCACTCATTGGTACTCGAAATAAATTTAGTTCTACAGTTAAGTCCTGATAAGTGGCTGTGATTAACATTTTAAATCTTTATGATAATACATATAATAATGTATTACTGTTGAATGTGTGCAGTAGTAGCAGTTTTGCCAGATATTTTCAAGGGGGTTTTAATTTATTTTTCTCTCAGAATTCTTTTGTTCGACTTAAGTGTTTGTCATGTAGTAATTTCAGCACAGTAACACAAATATCGTGACGTGACGTGGTTTTAATCTAAAGTGTCGATTAGTATTCCCAAGCACGCATTGAGAATTCTCCTTGTTACACAAATGATGACAACCAGCACATTTCTTGTTCGCAGAAGAAATATGCTATGATTCATTCATTCATTCGTTCATTTGTCCATTCATTGGCAAGACTCAAGGCCCTTTGTAATGTATTTCACGGGATGTACAGATGTTCACAATTAATGCTACAGAAAACCGGAGGCAACATAATGTACGAATTATTTTAGATCGAGGTAGGATCTAATTACGTTCACAAGGACTGCAACGTTGTATTAAAATGCAATGAAATATAAAATAATTGCCATATTTTCGCAAAAGAATGAACTATTAAAATGCAAAATAATTCGTACTTTGAAACCCTTCAGGTGACACTTCATGACTTATCATGACGTTTGACTCATTTTATATTATTCTATATTGTATTATGTTCTCATTTGATATTGTGCAGAAGTTAGCAATTAGTCATAAGAAAAGAATTTAGTATACTTTTCGCAGGTAATTATAAACACTGATAACCTTACTCGAATAAATACTGAGACGATTAATTCATAGTCGATTTTGCATATTGTGTATTTCAAATTTATAAAAATTATATAGAGATCGTTTCATTATATTATACAAAAGCGTATCAGAAAAGCTTTTTTTTTGCATAATACGATTAGGTTGGTTAATAAAGGCAAAACTAGTCTCATGATAATTATGGGGAATCCGTTGGTTTCTGCTTTATCATATAAACAACCCTTCATTTCAATCCAATGACTATGAAAATTTTTTTTAGTCTTTGTTTGTCATTAGGTATGTTCAAATGTTTTAATTCTATAATTTTGTTTTTGGCTATAAATTTTACGGTGAATAATTTTTTGAAGAGTAAAACTAGATTCTACAGTTAAATATATAAATTTATATACGTTATATATAGAACATGTTCGCTGAAAATATTCTCCAAGATAATCACAAATTCCTCTCTGTACTGCGGACGTCTAATTACTAAACAAATAAGTTACGTTTTCGTAAACTCGGATTCAATACTTCTATGCCACATTTAGCAAATACAAAATCTTTTTCTTGTATTAGTTTTCAAGCCGAAATTCAATTTTTACTCTCTGCTGTCTTTACATCTCATAAATTTTCACATGAATTTGTATCGACGTCGTCGGTCTTCTCTTACAATTAGATCAGTTGTCGCATGCAATGCAAAATGCAAACACATATAAATTAATTCAAATTGATTTAACATTCAAACGCTTTCAAGTTTAAATTGTGCTCTCAATTAATTTAATGGGTCTTCATATACAAGAACAACACTTTTGATAATGAAAACATATATAACGATTGAGGAATATGACATAAAAAATGAGGTATTTACTTAATTGTATCAAATGAAAATGTAATATTTTATGTGTCGTGATTGTTGTTATGGTGCCTATGTGGTATTGAGGAGATGGATTTATTGAATATTATAGGAAGGATCCGATAATCGATTTCTAAATTTGTTCGTTAAATAATTCACATAAAAATGAAAGTGTGACGTGGATTCGCCTGTTGAAAATTAGCACATTTATGAAGAATTCGTAAGCATATAGAAACTTTTGCTGTGTTAATAGATTGCGTATTTATGAATAGTCATTACATTAGTTTCTCTTTTTCATCAATACCTCTTAAAATATTTATGTAATTATAAAATATTATTTAAATATTTTTTCAATCTGAAATTTACCCAAGAGGTTCAATAATTCTAGTAATTCTAAAAATTAAATATATTTAAGATCTTATTTAGGCACTAGATTGAAAATCAAATTTAAGTTATAAATTGGGCATATGTTTTATTTAAATTTTTGTGATGTTAAAACACATATAATGCAATAATTGAAAATAACAAACTAATGATAATTTTAATCGGATTTGGTTTGTCAAATAATAATAAGTAACAACGAAATACTCACGCCTTGTAAGCTTTACTAGATCCTTTGAAAATACTATTTCATAGCAGCGCGATACAAAACTTTTGATCCCGTTCATCACTGTTGTTCGGTGTTTAAACTCAACGGAATGTCAGGTCATTGTATTAACTGTTCGTGCACATTAATGTTTATTATAGAGCAATCAACAATTTAAATTGTGTAGCATGTCTTGGATAGTACAAATATTGCTCATTGTTAAACATGATTTAAAATGAAATTTAGTATTTTGTACGTATAACAAATTTATCCATGATCGAGATGTAATAAATAAATAACTTTTCAAATAAGAGATAAAGAAGTATCTTATCTCAAATTTTCAAAATTAAATATCATTCTTTTTATGATTGTATATGATCACCAAATTCTTAATTATGTGGCGTACAAATGTCGCGTGGCAGTTCTGCCATATATGTAGGTTTGCACATGAACAGAAAATTAAAAGTAATGAAATACCTTTAAAAAGAATTTACATCTAAAATGAAAGCACGTATAAAATACCAGAAGAAATAATTCGGCTCTGGAACTACTAGTAATACTTCCAAACAAGCTGGTGGAGAAACCTGGGTAACCTATACAAGAATAACACATTATCTAGCTCATTTTTGTTTCTAATTTTAATCACAATGAGATTATTAAAATTTATTTTATCGTGTAAACTAATTTTCATTTTGAGCTTTTAATTTTCAAATGTGGTGAATTTGTTCCATCGAAATACTCGGCATACAAACATATTCATTTTAGACGTTCTGTCGTATATGTAGGTTTGTACATGAGCAGAAAATTAAATGTAATGAAATACCTTTAGAAAAGAATTTACATCTAAAATGAAAGCACGTATAAAATACCAGAAGAAATAATTCGGACTGGAACTACTAGTAATATTTCCAAACATCCTGGCGAAGAAACCTGGGTAACCTATACAAGAATAACACATTATCTCGCACAATTCTGTTTCTAATTTTAATCACAATGAGAACTTCAATAAATACTTGATTATTAAAATTCATTTTATCGTCTAAACCAATTTTCATTTTGAGCTTTTAATTTTCAAATGTGGTGAATTTGTTTCCATCGAAATACTCGGCATACAAACACATTCATTTTAGACGTAATATATTTAATAAATTAAATCAACAGGCATTTTGCACATTCTAGGGTAGGTTTCTTCTGTTGTTTGTTTTTTTATTTTCATATATTAAAATGAGTTTTTGATATAAATTCAAATAGGGGCTGAGCAATCCGGATCTACACCGCGTGCGTGAGCGGCGGCGACGTAGTTGTGGCGGCAGCTATGACGTCGCTACAACAACAGCCCTTGCCGCTTGCAGCCTGTGCCCCGTCTATGAGTGCGTCTGCTCCATCTCCTGCTTGTGAGGTGTCGTCAGGTGCGACAGTTCCAGTTCCTGGTGAACTAACGCAGCAAGTAGCGCATCAACGCAGTTGTTCTGAAAGCGAAGCTGCTGGGGCCATCGGATGTGAGCGCAAGAGGCGTGGATCGACTGGGGGAGCGAGAGTTTGGTCGGCTAATATACATTCGACGTCCAGGTAAATGATTCGCTTGTCAAATCTTTTCTCTGATGTAATTCTTTTTTGCGCTTTCTGACTCTTTCAGGAAATTATAATTGCTCTTTTCATTATTAATCGATGATAATAATAACATTGCAGACTTTGCGGTAGTCTCGGCGCTACAGTTGGGCGAGATCTGTTTGGCAACCAAGACACAGTCAACCAGCAACCTCATTCTCTGGACTACACAGCACTGCAGGCGGCTGGGGAACACGATACTTGCTCAACATCTGGTTTATCCATAGCTGATGGCAGTTGCCGATTTCCCAAACTTGAAGAATGTGCACATTTTCATTATGAAAGAGTTGAATTAGGGGGTGTTACATTGAGACTTATGCATGACGAGGACACGGAGCATGGTAAAGAATTTTAATTCAATTCTATGTAATATAATTTTTAATTAATTTCTAATTATTAGTATTATTTCTTTCTTATTTTATGCTAACTGGTCTTGTTCATGAAAACTCTTCAACATGCCGAATATTGCATAATCTTCTTCAGAAATTACTCACTCTAATTTAATTAGACGACACATCATATTTAATCCAGGTACTACAGATGACACGGAAAGCGTGCAAGGTGGACCGTGGTTTACCATATCTGTCGAATCAGGCCATTGCTCCAGTCAAATAAATAATCAGAGCTTTAGTTCATCAGCAGGTTTCAATGGTTTAAATTCCACGACAGCATCTGTATCTATTCAACAACAAGTGGGGGTTGGAGGGTCATTTGCACTGCGCCGGTAAATAGTCTTAACATTTGATTAATTTTGTTGGTTTATGAAATGTTTTTAGTGCCATTATATATCAAATTTAATGAATTTTTATCAGGAGTTTGGAAATTTGGCTTTGCTTGATGAATTATTGCATCGTTGTGTATACGATCGCCGA